TCAATAATATCCATAATGCTATTAAGTTTTATTTTTAATTTAAATTGAATTGCTTGCAATTTACTAATTTTACATATTGCAATATAATCAAATCCATCTAGAATTTCTCTTATTTTTGTAAATGAACCGTTATTTGATTTGTTATTAAATACATTTAATAAATAAACTATGATGAGATACTTGGTTAAGAATTAACTAGCTTTCTTTTAATCCATCCAAACATCTTTTTAAATAGCATTAAACTCAGGTCTATGAGCTGGCGTGAAGATGCAAGGAATTTGTACAAGTAAATTCATTAATATAGAGAATTTATGGATACTACAATTATCAAAAGCCAAAAAACGAAAGGCTGGTTTTTATGATTAATTTAGGCTTAGCGAAGAACCTCTCAGAAAGCTCTGAAAAATATAGCTTTTCCTAGTACCAGAAAACAATTATTAATATAAAAAGTCGACTTCACCTAATGTTACAATTAAATATTCAGAGTTTGAGTTGTTTCTTTGAAGTTATTAATAGATGCCATTATTTATGACAAGGTTTTGAAATATTTCCAAAAGAAGATGAATCAAAAGATTAACTTGTAATTCTATGAATAGAACCATATATTAATGAAATAAATTTCTTCATTTTATCTCTATTTCCATTTTTATTAAAGAAATGGTTTAGAGAAGGAATTCTATATCTTACATTAAATGAATTAAAAATCCTTCGATAATAAGATATTGATAATTTTTGTTTCGAAAATTGTTACCTAAATGCAGAAAGAAATATTTTTGCATTGAAGAGTATTCTATTTGATTACAATGAAGTTAATCATTCCTATTGATTTCTTGTAATTTTTATTTGCTCTGTTTATTTTATTATTTTTAATCTGATACTATAGTATCAAACTTAAGAAGGAGTTTATCCCAAGTAACTCTACAATCATTTTTCTTTAATCGAATGTTAAAGTGTATACAATATTTGTTCTAGATTTTTCCTTTCTACTTTTTTAAAGTGTTATGTACTTGAATGTTTTTACTTAAAAGATTGAGTACGTTCAACAATTAATTGATTATATCAATAGCTTTCTTTCTTTCAATTGCTTTGGTCAATTTTGGTATAATTAAGTTAATACTTTTCTAAATTGAAGTCCTTTTTAAAGGTTAAGCAAAATTAATTGCATTGGTGATGTCTGAATAGCAGTGGTCAAAATTCATAAACATGAAATTATTCATGATTTATATTTGGCTCTTCTCATTTTTAATAATAAATATTATGTATAATTTGCTGCTTCTCCATTACTTTGCAGCATTTGCACTTGGAATTACTTGATTGAGTAATCTCTAACTTAAAAATTCATACGCGACTTCGCAAGAATCACATTTTTTTTTTCTTAATTTTCCAAAAAATTGTTTAATTTCCTACGCTTAATACAAAGTAATGAAATAATATTTTATCAACACTTTTTAGATTTAACTAGATGCATCTCTCCGTTCAATTCCACCTCCACCGCCTCCAAATCTAAATCCACTTCTTCCTCATCCACCTCCTCCATCAAAAACTAAAAAATGAGGTCCAATTCCTTCATAAATTTATATTTGAATTTAGATTATTAAAATATTGACAAAATTGTCATTTAAGTTATTATTTTGATGAATACAGTAATTCAATACAATTTACAACTAGAAAATTAAATGAATGTGTCTTTATCTAATGGCAGATAATTAAAAGGAATTCCTTTACAAGAATGTTTGGACTGAACAGGAGCCTCCCCAAAACCTAATAGATTATATTGTGGAAGGTTTGGAGTTTGATTTTAGGGAAAAACAAGTATATCAGAAACCAATTGAAGACGTCCTTATTCGTGAAACGTTGATTTGAATTTTATTCAGAGGACATCTGGAAAACAAGTAAATCAATGATATGGTTGAGGCGATCCTAGAAGACTAGAACTTCTTAGAAGAATAATTGAACCTCATTCTTGAGACCTTTCTACTTTTATCAGGAAGCCCTCAAAAACCTGGAAAAGGACTTTAAGTAAGATGGAGGAGTTGTAGAAAAATATTAATGATAAACTTAAGGAAACATTGCAGAAACGAATCTACCCACAGATCATCCGGAATATTCCAAGATACGAATTCTTCGAGCCTTTTAAACATGGTTGGAGGAAATGCTAGACTCAGGGTAAGAACATGATGCTTAACCATCTTATGTATCATCGTTTTGAAGAAGCGGGCAACTGGCTGGAGAAAATGGAAGAAATTTTAGACTACAGTTAAAACGTAGAATTTAAGTACTATTGCTCAGAGCAGAAATCCACGAGGGAATCTATGTAGAAGATTGCGATCCGAGTTAGGAAATTAGTTAATTCCGAAAGCGAACCATATCAAAAGAAGGATCAAAATAGAAAAACCTATGAACACATTATTTACATCATCATTCTTATTATCATTATATCCACAAAGAGAGTTTGGGAAATCAACCTTATCAAGGTTTCAGGATGATGAAGAAGTCAAAAAATTGGTTTTCCTTGAAATATGTCAATTTCATTCAGTTTAATAAAAATCAAAACTCTATGGTTCTAAAGAAATGTTTATGAAATTTAACACTGGATCATCTGGTCCAATCTCTTTATCTGAATTAAAATGATATTATCCTTACCAATTCGATTCTTTTACGTTAATATTGACATTATCTATAAATCAGTTAATTTTATAGAAGTATAACAATCAGTGAAAATATTTTCAGTATTGAAGCTTTTATAATTATTTACCACTGAGCTGTAATGCGATACACATAACATTAAAACAATTACCAATTACCAATCAATCCCATTAAATTACTAATTACATTAACTTGAGTGTGTCTTGAAATGAATTTAAATTCGCATATTATATCAGAAGATTCTAAGCAAATTTAGATTATCGTTATCTTATAATTTGTAATTTCAATTATTAATTAATTAAATATATTAGACAAATGCATAGTCAATAATATGGTTCTTCCACAACTTCATGCAAAATTTATTCAATAAGACAATTGACAAACAACTTGCAACAGCATTTAAATTTAAATCATCTGATTAAGGGTGGTTAAATTTTATAGACTTTAAATAATATTAGAGATTTCACTTATGCTTCTACTAAGAATGATTAAAACTTCATGAAAAGAAATGGTTGAATGAAATGTTATTTTATTTAAATTGCAAAATTTCATATTTTTATTTGTAAATTTAATTTCAGCATATTTATAGACTATATATGTTATTAAATCCAAAGTGTTGTAGGAAATTCCTAAATTATAATCTTTAAATTGAGTCAATGAAAAAAATATCAACATTGCTTTTAATTTTATGTAATAAACTCTCGTAAGATAGAAATATAACCATCAAGTAATTACTTTGGTGTTTCCAATTAATTATAACATAAGTCATCAAAACTACAGTGGAGTATACTAAAAAGTGGAAATAGCCTATTATTGATACGGTTGATCCTATTATCTACCTTAGTCAGATAACCCAAACTGAGCTATAGAAGCTTTTTTTATGTTAAGAGAGTGGCTGATTAAAGTTGCTCGTTTTATAGGTTTTAATACTAATCCTAACAGTTAGCCATAAATATCACACTATTTTGTGATTTTTATAAAGGTTTGATAATTTATTAAAATTTAAACGAATAATTAGAATTAATTTCTTTCCTTTTTCCACAAGATAATTCTGTAATCCTTATTAGTATGTTTTCATGTAATAAAGAATTAGATATTTAATCCTAAATATTATTCCCTTTATTAAACCATTAATGCTTCAGATATATGATAATTTTTGCCAATTTTGATCTTTAATTATCTCTCTTATAGATTTCCAATACTATGTAAATTCTAAACATTCTAGGACACATTCATTTTCTTTTTAATATAGATCTTTTGTTTTATCTAAGGAGATGACACCCTAGAGATAACCTTATCATAAATACTAAAAATTTATTCATTTATATTGGTACAGCTTATAATTTTAATACACTCTGCTAAACAAATTCTTCGAGAATCTTTAATTAATTAGGCCTTAAGTAGATATGAGTCATTAAATTAGCTTTCCAATAATTTCATGCTTGGATCAACTCTCAGTTAATGATATCCTGGGTAGGACAGTCCAAAGTGAATTCTAGATTCAAAAACCATGATTTTGGGTTTGTTCAGGGTGAGCTTGACGAATGTAATTAGGGGGAATTTATTTGTGCAGCTATTGGGGAGGCTTATTTCGATGAAGCCTAGAGGAGGCCTTACTAATAAAATTATTAATTGATTCTACTTAATAACTCAATATATCAGTATTATTAATCCTAAAATACAGCTTAAATTATATTCATACCAAATAAAATAGATTAGAATGTAATCTTAGTTTCTAATAATTTTAATTATTTTTGAGATTTTCTTTTCTATTCTATCTCATTTTCATAGGGTTTTCAAAAAACAGATCTCAAATGGTAATTGGCTTCTTAACCATAAAGATGATTTTTTGAGTAAACTCAAAGCATATTGTAAAAAGAGTTGAATTTGTTAATATAACAAAAATTAGGAAATAAAGACTGGAAAGTTACAGTGTTAGAAATTTTCAGATTATTTAATTGAAGAAGTTTCAATTTCGAAAAAAGTGATGTAATATGAATAATAGTTAAAGAAATTGGGATTTAAGTGATATTTCATTTAAAAAGTATTCCAGATACTTATTTAGCAAGTAGGTTATTTAAATGACTTCGTTTTAAATTTTCTTTCTAGATTTTATTCACAAATATAATAACTAAATCTAATATTTGCAAAGAATTCACTTCAATTAAAAGGAATAACATGGATGATAAATCTGTATTTTTTGATGACAAAATTTTTAATTAATATAAAATAAAATTGTTCCTAAATTATTTTGATATTTGTGTATAATTATAATATAAATTTCAATAGAATTAGATTATATTAGAATTGCAATGAGTAAAATGTGTTAAATTTTACTTATTAAAATATTTAAAATGGAGAGAAAAGCAAATTAGATTGAATAAGAATAAAAGAGTAAAACACAAGCAATCTTAGTAAATTTATAGTAAGAAGTAGAGGTAAATTGATAATTTAATTAGTATTAATAGGGATCATTCAACAGAATTGATGCATAACTTGATGAATTGTTGAATGATAAGTGTAATTTGATAAACATAATACCATTTTAAGTATCATCAGATTTATCAAAACTCAATTCTAATATTTTTTTTTTAGTTCAATTTGAAAATGATGATTTCTCATAAAAAATAATTTCAGACATGAGTCCTTTAATCAAAACTTATAGTCAAAATCAATAAAAAAGCAACGAACAACTAAATGTTAAACCATTTACTTATTAATTAATATAATAGGCCTCAATTAAATAAAATGAATATTATTGTGCAATTGCTGTTAATAAAGATTGTTCAATATTGGTTACTGGATGTGACAGTTAAATTAAAGTGTTCGAATTTAAGTAAGGAAACTTGAAATAAGTTTAACTTTTAAATGAACATACTTAATATGTTAAAACTTTGAATTTCATGAAGAAATCGGATCACTTTATATCTGGGAGTGATGATAATTAGATAATTATTTGGGGAAGATATGAAAATAATTCATGGATTTGTTAATAAAAATTAAATGGACATACTGATACTATCTATTGTTTAATAATTAATGATAATGAAGATCTTATTATATCTGGTAGTGATGATGAGACAATTAAATTTTGGTGGAAGTAGAATCAATGGTTGTGTTCATAGACAATCACTGATTATAATTCTAGAGTATATGCATTAAGTTTGAATGAATCATAAAATAAATTGATTTCTTGTGGACAAGATAAGTTGATATTGGTAATGGAACAATCAGAATAGAATAAATAATAGACTGTTAAATAAAAGATTACAGTTGAAATAAAAGGACTTCGATTATGCTTTATAGATAATAATAAATTCACATTCTAACCTTTTGCGAAAGAGTACATGGATATTTATGAGATGAGTAGTGCTAATAAATAGTTTATCAAAACAAAGGATATTCCTGTAAAAGGTGGTTAAGATTGCTGTTTCTTTCCTTAATAATATATAAAATCAAAAAGTATCCTTGTAAATAAAAATGGTTCAAATGTGAATTTAATAAAGATCAAATCAAATGCTGAGTTTATAATCTAGTAATCTATTGACTTTTGGAATTAGTGAGACATATGGATATATGACTGATGATGGGTAGTATCTGATCACTTGGGATGATAATTCAACAGAATATTAGATTAGAAAATATTAAGAATTATGACATATTTAAATATTTCAAAATTAAAAATTAATCAATTTTTTTGGGATAAAAACAACAAGGGAATAAATTTGTTTTTGAAAAATGATCTAAAATTTATGAACATTCTCCTGATTATTTTGCAATTTAATATTTATTTAAGAGTAAGCGTACAAAATTTATGAATTATTATAAAACTGATATTCATTAAAGCAAATGAGTGTTCATAATTCTATATTCGTTTTTACATCCTGTAGGATATTTCTTTAAGAAGATAAAGTTTTCTGCCTTTTGGGTTATTGATAAAATCAATATTTTATTGGAAATAGATGAGTGTAATTAAGCCTAATTAGAATTACTGATCATTAAAAATAAGATCTTCTAAAGGTTGAAAAATAATTAATAAATTATGCGAAATAATAAAAGGGATTGTTTATGATGCTTAATATTATGGTTATATTTTTCCCATATATGAATAAATTAACTCAGATATGAATACTTTAATTTTTAAAGTTATGATAATTATTAATATGATTATCAATACAAGCACTTAATAAATATCTAAAATTGAAGAATGACTTTTTATTCCTTATTTAATTTCACATCAAACGAATCTTAAATTTGATGTCTCTTGATGAAGATTCAGAGGAGGGCTATCATTTGAAGTATTTTTTCTTAGTAAATCGGAATTGAATATTGTAAGCTTTTTAAAATAAAGGAGAGGTCATAATAATTTGGATTTTATAATCAATTAAATGATCGAAAATTATTCTTTCCATATTAAAAAGATTATATTGAATTAACAAGTTCGTTTAATATTAATTTTCAAGGATAATCGTGTAATTGAAAATTAAATCGTATTATGAAGCGCGTTATAGTCTTAGATTGATGAAATAGTTGATGCTCTAATTTAGAAGTTGAAAATGCAAATATTTTGATCTGCAATCTGATAAAAATAATATATTGAAGAATTTGTCTAATCCCATGCTTTTTATTAATTTCTTTCTATTGTAGATCCTAACAATACTTAAGATATAATTTGATTGAAAGATTAAATAGATGACATAGAATCTAATTGTAATTGCCAACAAAATGCCTCTTTGGTGCAGACTTCAAATACTTTAAAATATTTTGAGATATAGAAAGAGATAGATGAAATATAGAATGATTGGAAGGATATAAAGATAATGTTAAATGAGGAAGAAGTTCATTGAAGTAAATGAAAAGAAGTAGGATCATTTAATAGATATATATCTCTAATAGATTTAAACTGAAAGTCAAAGGAATGAAATAAAATTGGTTTAAGGATTAGTTTATCAGGTTTAAGAAAGAAAGGAAGAGCATAAGATCGATGAAGAAATCATCAAAGGAAAAAATAGATGAACTCAAGATTTGGTAAATGGTTTCTTACATAAAAGCATTTAGATCTGGAAAATAAGAATAATCGACTTGTTAGATTACGTTTTAGATAGACGAGGAATTTAAATATCAAATGTTGGAAATAGAAAGTAGGATTTCATAAATTCATCCACCATATTAACCTAGATAAATCAAGATATAGAGGAATAATACATATTTTAGAAGAGAATGATCACTATTAAACTATATACAAAGAGATATTACATCAATTCATTGAGAAAATGAAAAAAGTAGAGGGTGTTATAATAGTATTAGAAAATACTAAAACACACCTTGAAAAATGCAAATACACTAAACTGGGAATATATTAATGAAGAAAAAGTTTAGCTTAAAGAAATAAGAATTCAGGGAAACCTAGCAAGATAACTTGAATACATAGAATGGCACAATAAAGCCATTTCTTATGAATTCATGTGTTTCACAACTGCGAGAATGATTATGAAAGACAATACTTAGAACAAGAAGAAATAGACATGAAATTTTTGACGTGGATAAATGGAAATTAAATAAATACTATTTGGAGTAGAGGTTTATTCAGTTGAACGAAGTAGCTCCTAAAATAGTATAACTTGGTGATATGAGACCGATAATGGTTCAGAACCATTTGATAAAATGCATGGGATGGAGCTGCATGCCAACTTTGAAAGAGATCAATAGTAACTTCAATGATCCCTTGTAAATCGAATTTATTTGAAAACTAGGAAAAAAAATACTAAATGGCAAACCTTTATCTAGACTAAAAAGGAAAAAAAATACTATGATCTTTTACTTATAAAATGCCTATTAATCAATTGACAGATAAGTACTATATAAAATGATTGAGCAGAAAGGAATATTTAGTGAGAGCAGAGATTTCCACTTAGATGTGTACCATAACTTGTATGTGTATGATCCAATAACTAAGGAGACAGTGAGATCTAAAAATGGAGTTTATTAAGGTTCTTCATTAAGCCCATTTTTCTTCAACATATTTTTTGATTATATAATTAATCATAGGAAAACCAGAATATGAGAAGAAGTGGAAAACTTCCACAAAAGTAAGGATAGAAAAAGAAGCTACTTGAGGCCATTGATATACTGCTTATGTTAATGAGGTTGTTATTATTGCTAATTTGAGCATAAATATTTATTGAAATAGCTAACTCTCTGGATCCTGAAAGGAAACCTCAAAAAGACTAAATACATCTCAAATAATATAAGAGGTTGGAGGATATTTATATCAAAGACTGTAAAAGTTTAAGATCTAGGAATATTGATTAAAGTGAGGGGAAACTTGAAGAATCAAATGGAAATCACAAAAAAATCTGCTATGCAAAAATCTACTTAATTATCGTTGGTAAGAAAAATACTGCCATTCAGAATTCTGACAAAACTCTGGATATTGTATGTCCTGCCTCTAATAAAATATTTTAATCTTGCAATATGGATTTAGAAAAAACCATGATAATTCAATGGTAATTTAATAAAAGAATCTCCTTTAAAAGAGCGTTAAGGCTAGAAACAGGGTTCCCTATGATAATTTATAATCTAATTGGATAAATTGAATTTAACTTACAAATAAAATGAATACTTGAGGAGGGCAAATCCTAGCTGAAATTTTTAGAATACATCTATACTCATATAAGGGACTAGAATAAGCAGGATTATATTGGAAACAAGTTTACTTTTATTTCTATTGTATGGTTTCTTATGGATTATTAAAGGGATTTCCAATTCAACCGTTAGGAAAAGATAGAGAAAAATGAAACCGACTCTTAGATATTTGTAAAAATAAAATTGAATATTTGTGGGAAATTAATGAAGATGAAAGTAACGAGAAGTCAATTGGAAGAATAGAAAATCGAATAATGATAGAGAAAGGAGAGCTAATCCTTTAAAAATATCGGAAGAATCAGGAATATGACTTCTTTGAGCTGTTCAAACATAGTTGGAGAAAGTGTAAAACATATGGTAAGAATATGACTTTAGCCAACCTTTTGACCACCTCTTGGGAGAAGCTGAGAGGTGGGTCGACAAGACAGAGAAGATACTAGAAATTATTGAAGTGGCGAGTAAGTTGTTACTTAAAAAAACAACAAAGTTTAAAATGTGCAAGAGTAAATGGAATCTATTACAGATGAATATAAAGACTAATAAAATAAGAATATGAACCATACCAAAGGATAATAAAAAACAAACAAACAATATTTTCAACATTAAATTTAATTAAGAGGAGTTTAGGAAGAGTAGATTCATTATTATTTAAGAAACCATTTATGAGTGTTTCATTTTTCCAAACAATACAAATTGGTCAGATACTTTATAATTTGGTTGCCTTAAATTGATTTTGAAGGATTACTCCCTTTCTTTTTTCATAGTTTATTTGCTAAGTTTTGCATGTACTTTATCTCATATCCTAAAATTAATTAAATCTTCATCATCAGTAGGTCTTTTCCAAAAAGTTGTTTCAGTTATCTTTAAATTAGGCTTTACTAATTATTCCTTATGAATCATAACCTTACATGATTTGAAAAATCATTTCCATTATTTAATAATTATTGGTGACCCATCGTCAAATTATGGTAAGCAATCAATTCTAAAACTTTGCTAAATCTGTTATTTACAAGAAAAAAAATGATTTATTTTCAACCCAAACTATATTTTTAATAGAATAAAATGAGCTCAATTTTAATTAAAGCTTTCTTTAATAAGTAAAATGATTTCAATCCCTTTTTTCTTTTTGATATAGCTTTTGATTTCAAAAGATAAGGTCCTGTATATTTTCAGGTACAAACTAAAGATAGAAAATAAGGTTGTCCTTGTTTTATTTTTTTAATAAAATATATCAAAGACAAATCTCAGATAACTATAAAAAGTGAGATTCAGGTTATCAATTTTATAACAATTTTAACTAATAATATGGATTGAAAAGCATAATGACTTCTTTAGAAGGTTAATACTGCTTATTGGCTATTCCCAACACTCATGATTGGTCTTCTATATAATGCTTATTGTAAATTCTAAATGCGTTTTTTAATATATAATTGATTACGGAAGCAGTTTATTATAACTAAAGAGCAAAATAATTCTATTAGTATTGAGATTCTGCTATATTGCTCTTCTAATTAATTTACTTTTTCTTTTAAGAGGTATAGATTTTCCTAAGTTATTGTGTTTCACATACCTGTCGTACTAGTTTTAATGTTTATTTAGACAAATAATGTATTGAATTTGCTTAAGTAAAATAAACAAGAATTGTTATGATAGAAAAGCTTTTAGTTTTCGAAATATGATTTTGAATCAGGCTAGAGTGTGTTTGTAGATAATCTCATAATCCTATAATTTATGATCCCAATTCTTGTGCTGTTTCTTCTTATTAATATTCTTGGGCCTTCATAAATCGCTTACTAATTTTCCACTCCTTCTCAAATGCTAATTCTACTTTTCTAGTAATATTATTACAATTCTAGCTAAACGCTATCATATCTTATACTTGTAGTGGTGTATGCAGAATATGTTCTGCAGCAAATTTATAATACTATTATTATGATGCTAATTTCAAAAATAAAGGAGGCTGTGATAGAAATTTTCAACATAGCTTGCATACATCTACACTGATTCTTATCTCAATATTAATATTTTTAAATAATCTCTACAAGCAGTTAGAAACCTTTTTGTATTGCTCACTTAAATAATTCTCCCTTTTTAATGTAGATCATTGAGCATTTCATCTAAGCACAAAATATCAGCAAATGAACTAACATATGGAAACAGTTTAACTTTGATCCTAGTGAATGTAAGAACACATCTTGTTCGCCACTCTTTCTTTTTACAGTTCAAAGTAAACTCTCTTTTTAAATATATCACCATTCTTAATTAATGTAAACGATGATTTTTTGTGCTATGTTTAAGAGTGTTTAGCACTACTTGTTAGCATTCTGCATCATCTTGCATAGATGGCATGATCAAAGCGCTTGGTCAACTTGTGAGATTGTAAACTCTTTCAATGTTTGCCAGCCTAATGTTAAAAGTATTGGACTTATTATTCTAAGCCATCTAGCTAAATATTAAGTCACTTTTTGAACAAGTTTAAAAAACTACAGTTGATGTAAGATTCGAAGTATTTCACATATTAGGGAACCAAACTACTTCCGTTATTTACATAAGATAAAAATATGTACAATACTATTTGTGAAAGTGATACTCAATGTTATTTCTGTTTTTCTTCGATCATGGATACGTAATCAATTGATGAATTCACCTTTTAAACTCGATCGAAGGCTACAATTAATGAATGAATAAAACATTATTATTATACTTCCTAATTCAATTAGTTTTACTTTAATTACTTTAAAACTTATCAAGCATCAGAATGCAAAAGTAATTATATCGTCAAGTGATGAAAGACGAATATTAAGACTAATAACAAGGATTGTGGAGGCACGTATATTCAGACACATTTTGAAATAGTAATTCATGTAGCACAAGTCAAGCATGCAGTTGTAATTCTTTTTCTTTAAAGTGATGTAAATTTAAATGAAAGTAACAACATAATATTTTCAATATTTCTATCCTCTCTAAATGCAAACTAATATATGGACTTGTCCTAAATGTGCAGATATTAAAGAAACGATGTTTGTTATTGGATTAAGAATATTGAATAGAAGGCAAAAGCAACTAGTCTTGTTAGACCCTTTTAGAACATTAAAGAGGAGGCCAATAAAAATTAAGGAATTATTTATGTTATATTCTGGATAAAATTTTTACAAAAAAGTAAGGCAAAAGCACGTATTGTAGAATGTTACGTTTCCAGTACACTTCTTATTTAATTGTTACATGCATCAGATTTTAATGTCCTTACAATTAAAGTAAAAGAAAAACTATAATAATGTTAGTTCTCGAGAAATACACATTAAAATCTATAAAACATATAACATGACTAAAAGTGACTTTTAAGAGCTTCATAATAACAAAATTTCAAATTATGATTAATCGGTTTTAGTTAAATAAGATACAATAGTTATAATTAAAGTGAATGTCACCTTAATGAAACGAAATAATTCTAAAAATATTTGTATCCCTTAATGCACAAAACAATTATGGAAATCATATAAAGCAATTAGTAATAATGTGTTATGAAGCTATCAATTTGGAATTTTGATTTAAATTCCAGATTTAGAATTCCAATACTTATTTTCGCAATTCCAAATATATTATTATAAATAGAAAGCTTGTTTACAGAGCGCCAAAAGGTAAATTTGTTTCACATACCAAGTTGCTAGGATTATAAAAATTTAAGATGTAAGAAAATTGGTATCTTTCATAAACCTTTAAACTGGTGGAATGCCTAAATAATATTGAATATATTCGTTGATAAAAATTATATTGTTAAGGAATTTCAAAAGGAAATGATGGTATCTCATTTAAATCTACTATCAAGAAAATTTTACAGAATGCTTTTGTGGATAGGGGTCTGATGCATCCAAAACTCCAGTAGA